AAAAAAAACTTAAATAAGTTCTAGTTTTTATATATGATGTCTAAGAATTAAATCAATTTTTCAATTAATAATATGCTTGTACTGAAACAATGTACGTACAAATGATAAAAAGGCCTTTTGCGAGAAATTCGTCTAATAAAATTCAATTTAATTAAGATCAACTTTAGAATTGATGAAATGATATGCCTAAATTTTAAAAATTTTACATTTTTTTACAGTTATTAGAGTAATTTTTTTTCGAATTTGTTTGTTTATATACATAGTAAATATTCATCTGGGGCGTTTTCAGAAAATGCTGCATAACTTGTCAAAATAATAATTCCATGATACTGCTTTCGAATACTGGGTGATAATAATCGTAAATCTTCTAATCTTAAACTAATAAAGTACAAAAATAATTTGATTTGAGAAATAGGTCATAACGGCCAATAATTTCATTTCAAAAACAAAATAGGCTCAGAGAAGTTTTGTCCCTTTTTTGCCTCTATTGGTCCATGGCCTTTAGAGGCAAATCCAAAATACTCTTTTAGTACCACTAGAGGCAAACGGAAAATATATATGCCTCATATATTTTAATCATCTGGTTACTTTTCATTGATAGTCAGTATATCTATTTATAATTGCTTATTGTAACATATAAAAGATGAAAGAAGCATTAAAACATTTCATTCTCATAGAAAATACCATTTTGCCGCTATTGGCACACACAGACACTCTTGCCGCTATTGTCACCGATTCGGTAATATATATATATATATATATATATATATATATATATATATATATATATATATATATATATAAATATAATTAATATATTGTAAGCCACATTAAGGATTATCCTAGGACTTAAATATTTAGGCAATAATTTTATCTTTATCTGCTATGAAGTCGATATGATTACATCACGATTTCAAATTAATTGAATTGTGAATAACAGAAAGTTACTTTTCAATTCACTCATAATTTTTCCATTGAAGCTGGGATTCAAATTCCTCAAGAAACGGTGTTCGTCAGCCTTGGAAGTAACGTTATTACTAAGGCTATTTGGAACCAAACTAATTTTCGGGGATTGGCTACATGGATGCGATGCATTAACAATTTCTTTAAAAACATAGACACAAGAGGCACAAAATATCATGAATGCACCTGCCACGGGAATCCAGATATATTTCAACTGACCATAAATGACATAGAATCTTCAGTTGAGGGTGTATACAGATTGGAACTTAAGGTAGGATTCTTCTCATATTTCTAATATTTAAAAATTAATGAAATTTTTACAGAATCAAGAAGACAATACCAGTAAGTGATAGTATCAGTGAAATTAAATTTGACCGTTTTATATTAGAGGCAAGGTCAGGTCAAGGTCATTATCTTTTTCCTTGACATTAAGAATAAAAAATAACTGTTGCCGATCATGTGATACCTACTTCTATTTCGAAAGTTTAATGATTGTTCTTTTTGCATAAAAAAATATTACTATATCGGGTCTATAGCATGATATTAACAAATTTACACAAATGATATAACTTAACTGGATATTGGCTAATACGAATTTTCTCTGTTTTTCTTAATTTTTTAGGATATATTAGTTATTTTCATATGCTTCCTATATTTAACTTTTTCTTATTTTCACATATAATAAAGTAGTCTTATAAATGTACAAAATGATACAAAAACAAAAAGTTTTAATCGTTTACTAAAGAGAGAAAAAATACTTTTTATGGATTTTTGGCTCAAATCTGCGCTTTGATGGGAAGCGTTTAAAAGCTAATAAAGTTCTAGTTTGTTTGAAAAATCATATTTACTTGATATATTTTGAAAGTTTAGTCCCTCGTTATTAATCTAACTTACATTTGAAAATTTCTCCAAGACTTCGATTGTGTAAAAATTATAACTAAATTCCTTGTTCTATTATAATTTTGAGAGGCAGAAAAGAAGATATTTTCATACGCCACCATTCCGCCAAAAATATAGTCCCTGCTAGTTTTCAAACGCAGTTTACCATTTCTACCTAAAGTTGTACAATTGTGATGAGGAAAGAAAAATATGAACTTTTAAATTCCTTACACCTCAATATATAAGACATATAAGCAAATATACTTTGAGTGTCTCATTTAATAAAAAACCAGAGAAGAATCCTACCTTAAGCTTCCAAACAGTGCACTGGAAAGCAAAAATATAACTGTTTATGTTTTAAATGGTACCAAGATTATCAAATAAGTGAAATTAAACCCTAAAGAAAAAACCATGAAAGCAAAAAAAATTATTTTTTTTAATTTTTCAGACATTAATGCAATTGGGAAGGACGAACTTAACTTCTTGCGCTATAAAGAATGTGACAACATTGCAAAAGAAGCTCTTCGGATTACGTTTGAAAGATATCTTCATCAAAGCGGCACTGACCTTGCGACTCATCTTGCAGGATATCAAAACCATTTAATATCCATAAAAAAGCTAAATCCTTATCAGATCGAAATTCTTTATCCAAGTAAGTGAATGCTCTAAATTGCTTGTTTGTGAAATGACTCTTATTACTGTCATATGTATTTCAAAGGGGAAATAAATTTAACTTAGGTGATGGGTCACTTGTCTCCACAAGGACGTTTGATGTTTCAATTCTTTACACATTATTGCGAAACACCACAAGTATTAAAAAACCAAAAAACAACTGGAATCATGAACCACCTTTGGAAAGCATCGACAAAGCGGATGACGTTGAAAGAATTCATCTGTTTAGAAATTTGGTTGCTCATTGTACAAATAAAAAACTTTCCGATGACGAATTCGAGGAAAAATGGTTCGATTTGTCAACGGTAAAATATTTGATATATTTTACTAAAAAAAATTTAATGAAAATAATGGTAATTGAATAAAAAAATTATTAATAAAAAATATTTATATACACTTCAGGCAATCGATAGACTTAGTAAGGGAAAATTAAGGAAGCCATTATGCCAATTAAGAAACAAAAGGTTCGAGCAAAAAAAAGTCAGCAAGGAAAAATTGTATAGAAGACAAAATTTCACGGGTAATATTAGTTTATGTGTTGTTGTTTTTATTTTTGTCTATTTTTATCTTGAAATTATTGCATGAATGTTTTGATTGTAACAGATAGAAATGGCGTAAGCTGTATATTTTAAAGTGTTAATTTTACAGTTTAAAGTGTAAATTTTCTGTTTATTACATTTAAAAAAAAAAAATCTTTGATTTTTCCTTTGCCTCTGTCTTTTTATAATACAGTCATAGGCTCATGACGTCATAGCTTAGCGGTTAAGACTTTATAGCTATGTGAGGTTAAAACACTTTAAACATGGATTTAGCAACATATTTTTGGTAATTTTGACCGTTTTATTCGCTGTCAGAATGGTTTATTTATTTCCGTCTATCTTATATTAGGTCAAGGAAGATTTTTTACAGCAATCTTCGTTATGGGAAGGGAAATCGAGAGTTTTCCCGCACTTCTGATATTCGTTACACTGTGACAGGATATCATTTTGATATCCTTTCACACTGTGACAGGATATCATTTTGATATCCTTTCACACTGTGACAGGATATCATTTTTACTCAATGAGTACATTACAGTATTTCACGGGTAAAAATGTACTAAACTGATTTACTATTGGGAAAAGGTTTATGCTATAGTATAATCACTTAATTATAGTAAATTATAATTAACCGTACTATTTTATGTTAGAGTATTATTATCGTGGATGGATCTTTTTAATCTGCTACAACATCTCCAGTGTAATGGATTGATAATGAAATAAACGCTGAGGAGAACATAACATGCATCACACTATTTTAATATGTATTCCTTTATTTGGCTTTATTTTAGACCCATACACAGAAATCATATCGAAATGGCAGTTGCAGGATAAATTATTCTGCAAGGAGCTACGGTTGGTTGAAAAAAAAGTTTGATGTAATTAAAGACAAGAAACTGATAATTATTATCGGTGGCAGTGGGTCTGGTAAAACAGCTACAGCAAGACACTATGGCTTAAGGCTCCAGATAGAAGGATGGAAATTGATACCTATCGATCATGATATAAGGGAAATTAGAAGCTACCCTTTTACAGAAAAGTGTGTATTCATTTTTGATGACCCCCTTGGAAATTTGGGTCTTGATGACAGAAAAATGACAGATTTAGAGATATATCGCAGCACTGTGTTACAGATCTTTGGTCAAGAAAATCACAAACTAGTCTTAACATGTCGTAAAATTGTATACAATGAAGCGAAACCTTATCATGTTTTTGACAATTATAGTGTAGTTGACATCGAAGACAAAGATCATGCTTTAAACAATACTGAGAAGCAAAAACTTTTACAAATATACGGCATCGAGAAATTAGTTGAAGAGTCATCATTAGAAAGATCAAATTTAATGTTTCCTCTTAACTGCTATATATTGTTTCAAAACAGAGATGAGTTGTTAAAATCTGGAGCGCCCAAAAAAGTTCTAGATCATCGGGGATACCTTCTAAACGAGTTGGATACTATGAGTAAATCAGAGAGAACAAAAGTACTGTATGCGTCCTTGGTTTTTCTCATGATAGCTAACAATAATTTTACAGATGAAAAGCTAAAAAATAAGGAAATCTTAAATGAGATTTTTATTAAATGCAATATCTATGATCATCTACCACACAGCAGAGAGATTCGAGAGAAACTGCAATTTTCGGAAAATGCTTACGTCATCAAAACAGATTTTGGTTTCAAATTTCTACATGATTCTCTTTTTGAAATCTTTGCATTTCATTTTGGTCAAGATGAAGACAATCAAAGTCTGCTTTTAAAGCATATTGACATAGAATATTTAGCAAATAACACATATATGGGAGGCCTGGAGGAGGAATCTTCTGAAAGAGACTTCCAGATAAGGATCTTCCCAAATAATTACAAAATACTGTGTAATAGATTGTTTCACGCTCTTCAGGGGATTATTCAATTTGAACTGGATGTTCGTTCTGTTAATCCCATTCTCACTCACAAATGCTGGAGCAATGAAGAATTTATTCGCATTTTGTTAAAAACTGTCGGTAAAAAAAACATTGTAGATTTGTTCTTTAAACCATACCGTGTTTCAAAAGTCAAACCAAAATCAAGAGCTCCAGGGAAACGTAGCTCATGGCTTCATATACAGGGATTACTAGAAAATGAAAATTATGGCCAGACAGGAATACCAGGGGTGCCAGATGATGGGGAAACCAGACTTATAGAATGGATTGTTTTTAAAGGACATTTAGAGTTTATACAAAGTGTTCTTACACGTCAGGGGATATTAAGTTTGTTTCTGTTTAAAAGGAAAATAGATCCTGATCGGTTGTTTTGGCTTTCTATCTACAGTATGAACAAGGATATGTTTAATTTTGCTCTTTCTGAAATGAACCATAATCAAATAGAAAAACATATAAATGCATTATCGTTTTATTTGGAAATGCCCCTTACTCTTGCCTGTTCATTAGGTGTATTTGAAATAGTGAAGATTCTAGTAGAAAAAGGTGCCAATATAGAAAAGTGTAACATAAAAAATGAATCCCCTTTATTTCTTGCTATTAAGAGTGGTTCAGAGGAAATTGTTCATTTTTTGTTAGAAAAAGAATCCATTGATTAGAGTGGAACATGAAATGATATCTCCATTTGAAACTGCAATGGAAAGAAATGTATATATTTTCAAATCAGTATTGCAAAAATGCGATGTCAAGAGTACAAATCATGATGGCAAAACACCTTTGCATCTTGCAGCAGAAAAGGGATTTAGTGATGTAGTTGAAAATTTGATTGATCGTCGAGCAAATGTAAACGCTGCAGATGACAACCAAGAAACGCCTACACACATTGCATGCTCTAAAAATAATAAAGAAATCGTACGTTTGCTTTTGCAAGCTGGTGCTCATCTCGATGCGTTAAATGCAAGAAAAGAAACACCCTTAGACATTGCTTTGAACACGGATTTGGGTGATGTTTTGCAAACTATTTGCATTGAACGTACCCTTGAGCATTTCAAAGTACTGCTTGAACAAACTCATTATGTGAAGAAATGGTCAAACCATACCATGGAAGTAGATCCTTCGTTTGGTGTTGCTAAAAATATTATAGATACAATACTTAAAAAGATTCTAAGAAATTGTTCTGTTGAAAATCTGAAATTGATTTTGGAAAAGAGTGAGATTGATGGAACTATTGTTGATGGCAAATCGCCTTTGCATATCGCTGTAGAAAATGATTTTTATGATTTTGTTGACACTTTTGGTTCCATCGTGGTGCCAGTGCAAATGCAAGGGACGATAGCAGTAATACACCTTTGCATATTGCATGCTATAGAGGTAATACAAGTATCGCAAAATTGTTGGTGAAAGGAGGAGCTAATTTAGATGTGTTAAATCTTCGTAATGAGTCTCCCATTTCTGTAGCTATCAACAATGGGTCTGAGGAACTTTTACAATATTTCTTATTAATATGTCCTCTTCAAAAATTCAAGGACCTATTGGAATTGTGTGTCAGCAATGACAGTATAAGTTCTGATGATTCTCGCCCGGATGTCAAGAATTCTGAAATTTCCGATAAGTTTCCAGCTTCAGCTGGTATTGCTGCTAAGCAAGGCAAAATGCTGCAAAGTCTCTTACAAACTTGTCCTGTTGAAAATTTCGCGATTTTGGAAGAATACGGTCAATCCTCCTTCCAGTCCGACGATGGAAAAACACCTGTACATATTGCAACACACCTGGGTTGTGTGGATATGGTTAAAAGTTTAATTGATTGTGGTGTTAACATTAATGTTACTGACAACAGAAATCAAACACCTTTGCATATTGCTTGTGCATTAGATGATAGCAAAGCCGTTCAGCTAGTTGAAACCTTTATCCAGAATGGTGCCAACATTAATGCAACAGACAGCAAAAATTAAACACCTTTGCATATTGCTTGTGCATTAGATGATAGCAAAGCTGTTCAGCTAGTTGAAACCTTGATGCGGAGTGATGCCAACATAATTGCAACAGACAATAAAAGCCAGACGCCTTTACATATTGCGTGCTTAAAGAACAATACAAAAACTGCTGAAACATTAATTTCCAAATTATGTAACACATCGGTTGAAGATGAAGAGAAAAGGCTTCCATTTCATATAGTATGCGAAAAGGAAATTCAGAGCTGGTGAAACTTTTATATAAACCAGGGCATCTCGACCAGACGGATAAATTTGGAAAAACACCAAGGTGTTACGCAGAAAAACACACAAAGATTCATAAACTCTTTAATAGGAGGGAAGAATTTTGTGATCAGTACTAAAAAAAATGTGACTCGTTGATTTTTTTTTCTTAATAGAAATGGTACATATATGAAACTATGTTGAGGTCTCCTTCATCAAATATGAATTAAGGATAGATCTTAGTTGAATTGATTTAAACAATATTTATTCAGAATACTGAATATTTGTGTAAAAGGCATACAATTTCATAGGCGGATCCAGGAATTTGTAAAAGGGGGGTCCAACATTTTGACCTATTATAGGTACTGTTTGCAACATCTACCGCTCCCTATTTTCACCCCACTTTGTGTACATGTAAATGATCTAAAGAAAATGTCTAATTCATGGCTTGAGACTTGAGAGAAAAGCCCCCCCCCCCCCTTTTTTTGCGTTTAAACTCAGCCGGAGCATTAGTCCGAAAAATCTGACGTTTTCTGGCTTTTTTACGATTTTGATATTTTACATGCCAGGAAAACGTCAGAACCGGCGCCATTACGAAAACTGGCAAACCGCCGCCTCCAACCGGAGGCGGCATTCAGAATAGCTTGATTTTCGATACTTGTAAACCGAAATAAATGCTGAATTCATATATTATCAATAGTACAAAACCTTTAGTACTCACCAACATCGTTTTTATGTTTCGTTTATGAAATAATGTAATCCGATGAACACATTTTATCTTACTGTCGAGATTTGTTTTCATTTCGTGCATTTTAAAATCGTGGCGATTCCCAATTTGGAATGTGGAGTTGTAATTTTTATTCATCGCTATTGGTGAGTTCTAGTAGCATTGTGCCATTGATAAATTGTGATTTCGGCATCTAATTGGTTCCCAAGTATAGAAAATCAACTTCGGTTGAAGACGGTGAAATTCCCAGTTTTCGTAATGGCGCCGAAATTTTGCGTTTTCCTGGCATGTAAAAAATTCAAAATCGTAAAAAGCCAGAAAAACGTCAGATTTTTCGGACTACCGGAGCATAAAGTTTGTACTATATAGCTGCGCTCGCTACAACGGTCACACCGTCAATATATTACTGTACAGTGGCATGCCAAAAGTGAAGATAATTTTATTTTTTCTCTATATATTTCATTGAAAACAACATTTTATGAAATCATAGGGAAATGGTCAATTTTTGTCCAATTTAATTATTTATTTCAGTACTTAAACCGGAAAATGTGTAGTAATCTTTCTTTAATATGTAGTAAAATATAGTTCATCACTAAACATCAGTTCTAAAATTCAAGATCAATGTTGACTTTATTCATTGTGAGTATATGACTTAAAAATTCATGTCACACTTAAATTACAATATTTTTAAATTATCAATGCTTATCAATAAAAACTATTTTTTTTAAACTACAACAATTTCTTAGATTATCAAGAAATTTTTGATAAAATCTGTCAAGAAATGTTGTCATATTAGCGATTTTACAAAATATTGTTTTCAATGAAATATATCATGAAAAAATAAAATTATCTTCACTTTTGGCACACAACTGTATATGTTAGCCAATGTTCATGATACATTGTAACAAACAGCCTTCCACATGTATTTGTAAACATTACATGTGAAACGACCTTTTTCAAAATCGTCGTGTATGACTCAGCCTAAGAATCAAACATTTGCCTAGTAGCTTAGTTCAATATAAACAACTCTTCATAAAAAAGTAAAAGCTTAATACCATAATATTTATGAATTATGGACAGTTTAATCTTCATGCATTACTGGAAGCAGCTTCAGAGTTATTGTAAACAAAACTGTATGTATACATGTACAGCGCTGATGTTTCGGGCGAAATCTCTACAACTTTCTATATCTTTTTTTCTTTCCTTTTTCTCTTGATTTATATTTCTAATTTTTTTTATGGGGTATTGTATACATTTTTTTTGGTCCTCAAAAGGGGGGTCCGGACCCCTGGACCCCCCTCTGATCGCCCTTGAATTTCTTTAAGTACCTTTTTTGAAATGAAATTACATCAAACAAACGTTGATAGTTATGAGCTAGTCTATAAAAAGTAATTTTTCAATCCTCTTCAGAATGTTCTTTTTAATTTGTTATTTAATATGTGTTTTGTTTAATTGAAGAGCATATCAAACATACATTACTTTTTCGAGAAGCGCTGACTTTTACTGTTGACGAATTATTCTCCCCAAGGACAGGGTACGGAAGCTCTCTTTCGATATAAATATTTAGCTCAACATTTAATTAAAAAAAGAAAAGGCTATTTCAAAGCATGGAAAAGTTGTCC